ACTTAAGAACTAAATTTTACATTTAATTAGATTAAAATAGCCTCATGGGGCCAGTGGCTACTGCATTAGAAAGCACAGCTCTAGAAACTTCCTAAAATCCTCTTCATCACTCACCAGTGCGTCTCTACTTCAGCCCTCCAAACTAAAACTTGTAACAGGAAAATAAAGAGTAAGGAAGTATAATCTTGTCAATTACACATAGCCAGAGTATTAAATTTGATTAGTCAGGGACAGGGCTGTGATCTCTGTCCTGTGGAAGCCTACAAGACTCTTGCACTCTTATACCTAGCTAAGGAGCAGTCATACAACCTTGAATTTTGGTCTGAGATCCTTAATTTTAATGTCTTTTTTTCCCTGTTGAATTATCCTCATTCATATTGTACCATTATTCTCCCTTAATACCTTTAATCCTTGTACTCTCTGATGCCTAGTATAAAGGTAAGCAAGAATTCCCTTTCCTTTGTGGATGATTTGACCAACTCTGAATACCTTCTAATGCTGGTTTTGCAACTGTGTCCTTGGTTGGTCACTTTGGCTATTTTGGGCCTCATTTGCAAACTAAAGGAGTTGAGTTAAATGACTAGATAGACTTATTCTAGATATAAAAATTCTGTATGTAGGCCAGGTACAGTGGCTCATGCCTATAATCTTAGCACTTTGGGAGACTGAGGTGGCTGGATTGCATGAGCTCAGGAATTTGAGACCAGCTTAGGCAACATAGTGAAACCTTATCTCTACCCCCCCAAAAATATAAGTAAATAGTTAGCTGGGCATGGTGGCCCATACTTGTAGTCCCAGCTACTCAGGAAACTGAGGCAGAAGGATGCTGACTCAATAATAATAATAATTAACAATAATAATAATTCTGTATATAATTTGTCTTAATGCCTAAGACCCTATAGCTGTATGGAAATGTGATAAATTATTTTTCTTTTAAGTAAATTCTTATTTTAAAATTGTGCGTACAAAGTGTCAAGTATCTTTAAAAAAAGAAAGAAGGTAAGCCTTACGGGAAAAAAAAGTAAGAATTGCTTGAAAGCTATGCAGCTCTTTGAGTCTAATTGAGTAGCTCTGTTCCTTCCTTTTTATGCTCCCTTTGTGAATGATGTTGCACGTCAATAGGATGCAAATCAGAAGCTTACACATCTTTTGATCCTTCATACGGAGCAATGGAAGTGATTGCTATACCCAAAAATCTCAGTGAATTAATTGTCACATTGAAATATGTTCATTTAACATGTAATGGCAGTTGGAGACCTAAAAGCAAATAAAGAAGTTTAAAATGTTACTTTAGAAGCATAAGTTGTTTTTTGTTACTGTATATGTAGTATATTGTATACAGTAGGCCCTTCACATCTGCATACTCAATCAACTGCAGATTAAAACTATTTGGAAGATAAAGAACACTACAACAATAAAAAAATAATACAAATAGTACAGTGTAACAACTATGTAATAGTATTAGGTGTTATAAGTAATCTAGAGATGTTAAAGTATCTACGAGGATGTGTGTAGGTTATATGCAAATACAGTACTATGCCATTTTATATAAGGGGCTTGAGCTTCCACGGATTTAGCGTCTACAGCGGTCATGGAACCAATCCCCCAGGATACCTAGGGACGACTGTATAAACAATTTTGATGTTTTACCTTTATGTTCATTTTGAAAATAACAAATATTTCATTAAACTCTAGTAGGTCATTTAAAATATTTTATTCAAATTCAGTTTACATATATTTGAAGTAAAGTATCTATTGTGTAGAGCAGTGTTTTGTACTGTAAGTATGTCACATGCTGATTTTTATAATATATATTCATCTCCTGACTGAAGTGTACACCAGTGGTCTTCAGTCTGTGATACATATTAGGATCACCTGTAGGGCTTTTAACAAATATAATATTCAACTGTATGATTTCACTTATACTGTGTGTGGAATCTAAAAAAGTTGAACTCTTAAGAGAAGACAGTAGAATGGTGCTTACCAGAGGCTGGGTAGGGGGTGTTGGAGAGAGGAGAGATGTGGGGAGGAACAAGTTCTGGTGTGCTACTCTTCACAGCTAGGTGACTGTAGTTAATAATATATTGCATATTTCAAAATAGCTAAAAGGGGATTTTCTTTTTCTTTTTCTTTTTTTTTGAGTTGGAGTCTCACTCTGTCACCCAGACTGGAGTGCAGTGGCTACTCCCAGCCACTGCAGCCTTGACCTGCTGGGCTCCGGCGATCCTTCTGCCTCAGCCTTCCAAGCAACCGGAACTACAGGCGCGCATTACCACACCCAGCTAATTTTTGATTTATTGTAGAGATGAGGTCTCGCCAAGTTGCCCAGGTGGGTCTCGAACCCGCGGGCTCAGGCAATCCACTCACCTCAGCCTCCCAAAGTTGCAGGATTACAGGCTGAGCCACCGAGCCCAGCTAAAGAGGGGGTTTTAAATGTTCTCACCAGAAAAAAAAAACTATTTGAGGTGATAGATAAACCAATTGGCCTGATTTGGGTAGTTCACAATATATGAATGTATTGAAACATCACATTGTACCCCATAAACATACACAGTTATCATTTGTTGACTAATAATACTAAAGATAAAATAAATATGATGCTCAAACCTCAATTCAGACCTAGTAAATCAGTCTCAGAAATGAAGCTCTGAACACATACTATAATACCTCCCATGATTTCAGGGTCTAAACCAAGATGCCTTGATGGGCATTTTTGACAAGAAAAGAGATGTCTATTAATTGGGCTTATACCAACATCAAAAGTAAACTGTAATAATAATGATAGTATTGTAAAATTCTATTGTTCTTTCAAAATGTAACATTGATTAGCATTTATGTTTAAATGATGGCAGTTTATCACTCAAAAAAATATTCAACTAATTCATTGTTTAGTCATTACTAATAATTTAGTATGAAGTGCAGGAAATGTGATACAAATATAGGACTCCTAAAAAGAAGTACTTGATTTATTTACTTTATCTTGTTCTAAAAATAATTTATGTCTTACAAAAATTAAAGATTGTAATTTTCTCTCATCCTTAGATCACTAATGCTTTTATCATTTGTCAGTATGTTGACAGCATAAACCTTAATTTTACTGAAAAATGCTTTAAACCTTCAAATTACTCGTCAAAACCACAATTGTTTTTGTTTATGTCATGCTTTCTCTTAGAGTTTAAAAGTTTCTAATCTTTATTTATTTACATGAACAATATATAATTACACATTACTCAATATTTTTATATTAATGATCTTAAATATGAAGTTGATTATATTATATTGAATTTTTCAAATCATCATACCGATAATATTCATATTGCACAAAGCATCCTTTCTAGACAATGTATATTTCATTTTTATTGTCATTATTGATAACTATTCTTCAAGAGCATTTATTTGGTGTCCATATTTATATGGCACAAAAAGTGCATGGGACTGGATATAGGTAGGAATATTTATTAGTCAAAGCACTGCTAACTTCTAAAACATAAATCTCAGTTCACTGTGATGTTCTTGCTTGAGTGATCTTTCATGTATTTTACCTCCTCCTTTATCTAAGTCCTCAGTACTCTCCATTCTACCCATGGATAGGGAATTAAAATATGGAAAGCCACACATTTTCTTAGCCACTTTAATTACAGTGAACTGTGTGATGTAACACAGTTCATTTCCATCATAAGACCATTTACAATAGGCCAGGAAATCTAGCTGTATTCTCAGGGTAAAAAGAAAAGGGGTTTTGGTGAACACACAGCAGTCTCTACAATAGCCCTGTCTCTGCCATGAATACATTCTGTGCCTCTTGGCAAGGCACTCAATCTCCTTGGCTCAAGGAGTGTGGTGACTCATGCCTGTAATCCCAGCACTTTGGGAGGCCAAGGCGAGAGGATTGTCTGAGCTCAGGGGTTCAAGACCAACCTGGGCATGTTGGCGAGAACTCATCTCTACAATAAATGAAAAAATTAGCCCAGACATGGTGGTGCATGCCTGTGGTTGCAGCTACTTGGAAGGCTGAGGTAGGAGGATCACATGAGCCCAGCAGATCGAGGCTGTGGTGGCCATGAACATGCCACTGCACTCCAACCTGGGCAACAGAGTAAGACTCCATCTCAAAAAAAAGAAAAAAGAAAAAAAGAAAAAATCTTCTTAAGATATAGTGAAGTTTGAGTCAACAAAGTATTTTTCAAAGTCATAATATCCTTAAAAGAAGAGTTGATGAGAAATGAGAACCAAATTATGGCACAGTCAGTGGTTTTGTGGTTACATAACCAACTGATGCTGATTACTTGATTTAAGTGATGATCCCAGAGGGGAGATCTGGGGGTAGATGTTGGGAGGAATGTGGACTCAGGACTTCATTCTGAGTCTTAAACTTTTCACTTTTTCCCAATTTCCACCAGTAAATCAGATGAAAACATAAAACCTACTTTACAAATTGTACTTTGGAAATTTCAAATAATTTTTTAGACACCTAGATTAGGCTATCAAATTGCCTTAACCTATAATATAAATTATAGGTTACCTGGGCTTTTGAGGACTGGCCAGAGAATCAAAAGGAAAGATTTATAACACTGTTTTTATGATAGTACATTTTATAAATGAACTGTGGAACATAACCTATTTCTAAATAAAGTTAATTGCCTTCCTGCCTTCAAAGATGGGAGTAAAATGATCTCTTACACCCTTAAATATAAGTTAGGAGATACGGTTAGCAATATGAATAGAGCTTGATTCTCTTTCAACAAAGACATTGGGTTTAACAGATAAAAGACCTCAAAAACAGGCACTACAAAGAATATGTGAAGCTATTAACACATATCAGATGTGAGTGAATGTTAGTCAGATGTCACATTCACTCACAGTGTTTACAAGACACATATGGCTTGAGCCATCTTGGATTCTAAAAGACAAAAATGATGAATAATTATACATTAATATTCATAGATAGCATCGATTTCTTCTATTACATTTGAAGGCTTTAAAAGGACTTAATAGGAAAGACCTTTTAAATGTGATAGTGATATTTCAAAATGTGTGCTTTCTTTTCAGGACTTCCAATAGTAATCAGACATTATCATCCTGTCATACTATGGAGCCATGCTCATCAGATGAATTTTTCCAAGCCCTTAATCATGCCGAGCAAACATTTAAAAAAATGGAAAACTATTTGAGACATAAACAATTGTGTGATGTAATTTTAGTTGCTGGTGATCGCAGAATTCCAGCTCACAGGTAATTATTTTCTACATTTCTGTATGTATGAAATATTTCCTTGATAATTTAGCTATGTGTAGTAAGATATAGCTAAATGTTTTACTTTTGGGAAGGGGTATATGTTTCATGGAATTTCCACAAAGAAAGCAGTGTGTATGAAATTATTACACTTTAAGTGATCCTAAAAGGGTCATTTTTCCTCTGTTGAAGCACAATAAACAAAACATACTAACCTCAGATAAGTTAGTATTAGTGTGGTGTTCAGCTGTTATAAGCTGCTTTCATGTCATGTTCTACCTATCAAATACTTTAAATAAACTCAATGGAAATTAGAACTTGTGGGTATTTAGAAACAAAAAAGCTGGTAAAATGGAGTAGCAAAGTCTTAAGAGTTTTAAAATAGCCACATCTATCCCAACTACTGTTTGCTGATCTCTAAGTATGGAAAGCAGTGCTGGAGAAAAGCCTTTACCATAAATGACATGTTATGTCTTGACTCTGTATTAAATTGTTCATTGTCAATCATCAGTTGATTCTCAAAGGTTGTTGGTTTTTTTCTGTCCTTCAAAACTAATTAACACTCTGTCCCAAAGGTTTTTTTAAAACCCTCCAAAGTGGAAATAAGATCATTAGGAAGAATGGGCTTGGTCTTGAATCAGTTAGCTTACATTTATTGAGATACTACTATACAGTGAACAAAAGTCTGTGTTATTAGTATGAGTTTATTCAAAATGGTATTTCAACCTGAATTTTGTGGAGACATCTCAAATTCTGTTATTTCCCAGTTGAACTCATTCTCTTACCTACCACACTCATGTGAGCTAGCACCATCTCACTTAGATTACTAATGCAAGAGCCTCCTAACCAGACTCCCTGCTTCCACTTTTTTTCCCTCCGTTCTGCTTTTAATCACAGCTACCTGAGTGATCCTTTAAAATGGAACTCAGATTCGTTCTCTCGTCTGAAAGCCTTTCAGTGACTCCTCATGTCACCGAGTGTGAAAGTCAAAGTACCGGCAGTGCCTGCATGATCCAGCCTGCCTTGCCTCCCTAATGTTCTGTCCCCCCGCTTTCCTTGCTCACTCTGCACAAGCCACACAGACCCCATTGTAGTTCCCTCTATGCTGCTCCTGCTTTTGGCCTTTTGCGTTGACTACTCCTCTGCCCTTAGATACTTGCATGACTAAATCTTGCACCTCCTTCAAATATTTGCCTAAATGTCACTTTTCAATGAGATCACCTATTTAAACTCATCACTGCCAGGTGCAGTGGATCAAGCCTGTGTAATCCCAGCATTTTGGGAGGCTGTGGTGTGAGGATTGCCTGAGACCAAAGATTCAAGACCAGCCTGAGCAAATTGACAAGACTTCATCTCTACAATAAATTAAAAAATTACCCAGGTGTGATAGCGTGCACCTGTAGTTCCATCTACTTGGAAGGCCGAGGTGGAAGGATCGCCTGGGCCTAGCAGGGCAAGGCTACAGTAGCCATGAGCGTGTCACCGCACTCCAGCTGGGCGACAGACTCAAAAAAAGAAAAAGATATAAAAAGCTGGGCACGGTGTCTCAAGCCTGTAATCCCAGCACTTTGGAAGGTGGAGGCGAGACGATTGCCTGAGCTCAAGGGTTCAAGACCAGCCTGATCAACATGGTGTGACGTCGTCTCTATAATAAATCAAAAAAAATTAGCTGGGCTTGGTGGTTCCAGCTACTTGGAAGGGTGAGGAGGAAGGATCACCTGAGCTCAGTAGGTCGAGGCTGCGGTGGCCATGAGCGTGCTATTGCACTCCAGCCTGGGCAGCAGAGTGAGACTCCGACTCAAAAAAATATAAATAATAAATAAATAAACTTATCATTCTTTTCCCATTTGCCTTAACCCTACTTTTTCCCCCATAGCTCTTATCACCTTTTAATATACTACAGAATTTGCTTCTACTGTTCATTGTTTGTCTCCTTACTTTCTAAATGTAAGACTCCATGAGACAAAGGATCTTTTGTCTATCTTGTACACTGATGTATCTCAAGTATCTAGAACAGTGTTCTGTACTTACTGGGCACACATCAGTATTTGTTTAGTAAATGAATGAATGAATGAATCGATGAATCGCTATTTCTCTGAAGAAGCAAACTGAATGGCCAAAAAACATTCGAAAAACCAGTTGGGCATGGTGGTTCACATCTGTAATCCCAGCACTTTGGGATATTGAGGCGAGAGAATTTATCTAGCCCAGAAGTTCAAGACCAGCCTGGGCAATATAACAAAACCTTGTCTCTACAAAAAACAAAAAAATTAGCTGGGTATGGTGGCGCATACTTGTAGTACCAGCTACTCAGAAGGCTGGGGTGGAAGGATTGTCTGAGCCCAAGAGGTCAAGGCCACAGTAAGCTATGATTGTGTCACTGCATTCCAGCCTGGGTGACAGAGTGAGACCTCAACTCAAAAAAAAAAAAAAAAAATAGTTATCAGATGAATGAAAATTAAAACAACAATGAGATACCATTTAACACTTCACAGGTGGGCAAAAATTTGACATCTGACAATACTGTGGGGAAAATATTAGTCTTATACAATGCTTGTGGGTGTCTAAATTGGTACAGTACCTTGGAGGGCCATTTGGCAAACCTTATGACTAAAGAGTGACACTCCCGAGGAGGGAGGAAAAGGGAATAAGGAGGAATCGATATGGAAATATCAAGATATTATCCAATGAAAAAAAAAATACATGTTTCAGAAATATGTATATTTATAACTTAAATTTATATGTGACTATCAAAAGAAACATAACTAATACATATTGAATGTATTGTAATACATATAGTATATATTATAAAATAAATGCTATACCATAATAATAAAATAATACTATAATAATAAAAAATTATAATAAATGTTAAAAAACACTTGCTAAAACTATTTTCAAATGTTTCCCATATAGTCACTACTTCTGTGATTAAATTGTTTAAAAAATAGCTTAGGTGTTTTAAAAAATGATAAGCAAAAATAACTTTTACATTTTTTTCTTTTTTTATATAGTTGATTTGGTGCTATGGTCTTGTAGCTTGTTTTCTGGATATTATAAAGCAAATGTGAGTAGTGAGCAGACAAATCATTTACCTTGGCAGAAACTTTTCAGCAATGGTAATTTATTATTCAAAGGAAGGAAATAGAGCATAAAGCAATTTGTCAAACTTAAAATGCATTTCACAGTACCATGCACTTTCTATGAACAACAATTTTTTTTAAAAGAAGCATTTATTAATGAACATTGACTTTAATGTGGTCATTGATTTTTTTTTTTTTTTTTTCTGGTGTGTTCTCAGATTGGTGCTCTCCTCTGTCTCAGATTATTTTGCTGCCATGTTTACTAATGATGTCAGAGAAGCAAGACAAGAAGAAATAAAAATGGAAGGTGTAGAACCAGATTCTTTATGGTCTTTGATTCAGTATGCATATACAGGTAATAAGTCTGAAAATGTAAATGAAAGCCTCTTAGATTTATGTTGTATTATTAGATTTTAGATTACTGCCTTTAAAAAGCAGGACATAACTAACAGTTAATTCTGCTATTGTCATCACTACTCCTGCTGATTTAACTTGGTGGTAGATTAAAATCTCCATATTAAAACCTTTATAATGGTATTTTACAATGGTAATATAATTAAATGAGTTAGTATCAAATTTTGTATGTGAAATCTGAGTTACACAGGTATATATTAATAGTAGATATGTTACTAATTAATGCGTCATTTTAAAATTTTGAAAATAAGACATTAGTTTTTTCTTTCAGTAGAAGTCACAAAAAGCTAATAATATTCTTCCACATTTAGTACTTTTATTTTCTTTTCAGAATGTCTTAAACCATGAAGGTCTGTAATACATGTAATGAGCTCCTGTTTAGAAATATTACTGTTAGCCTCAATCATTTTATAAAATAAGGTTAACTTAGTTTCATAGCTAATAGCATTTCTTTTTATCATTAAGGCCGCCTCGAATTAAAAGAAGATAATATTGAGTGCCTGTTATCTACAGCTTGCCTTCTTCAGCTTTCTCAGGTTGTGGAAGCATGCTGTAAATTTTTAATGAAACAGCTTCATCCATCCAACTGTCTTGGAATCCGTTCTTTTGCTGATGCCCAAGGTTGTACAGATTTGCATAAAGTGGCTCACAATTATACTATGGTATGTATTTTTTGGAAAATGGGAAGGTATATCCTCTATGCCTTATTCCTTATTGTTGCAGCTTATCTACATGTTGCTATTTTCCCGTGGCTCTGCCACATATCTTGAAGTTCAGGCTCATTGTCAGTGTCATATTTTTATTGAGTTATGAGGGAAAAGCACCAAGTAGTACTTCTCCTGGTTATATGAGTCAAGCCCTAATTGTTATAGTCACTGAAAAAGCAGAACTATGCCATAGGACTGCTCCATTTTCAGATCTACTACATTTTAAAGGATGACTTTCCCAAACATTTTACTTTGTAGCACATGGATGAATTTCAGAATTGTTCATATCTTCACTTATGGAAATTGGTGGTAGTTGTTGTAGCATATTAATAGAGCACAAATAAGTGACTTTTCATTCAAATTAACTGATTATATTTTTAAAGTATTTTGCTTAACCATGTAGCATGATGTTCCTATCAATTGTAGCAAATTATATGCTCAAAATAAATCATAGAGGAGGTTCTGACTCAGTAGCCTAAAGGATAGTGGAATGCAAATTGAGCGAGGATAACAGAAAATAGGGGCATATTGAGGGCATATTGTGAGGATCAGCCTTCACAGTCTTAACAGTAGAGGGCACCGTGAAGGGAGGGTATGTGGATTTTTAAAGACTGACCAAGTTGCTACACTACAGCAGTTAGTTCTTCACACCCGGACAATGATTGAAGACTGTTGCTTTAAATGCTTCAATTAGTTACAGTTTCTAAGAAAAGAAAGAATGTGAATATTCATATGTATGTGTACAGTTATCCATATTACTAATTTCATCAACTTTAGATGTTATTTTGTCTTCTCCTGTCTATTCACCATCCTTCCACTGAGTTGGCTGGGATGTGAAGATTTTAACAGTGCTTTAGGAACCTTTCATTAGAGAAATAAAGATTGGGAAAAATTATAAGAATAAGTTTTACAAATTATTAATTATTGAGAAGATTAAGTCTGCCTACTTCATAAGTCTGCCTACTTGATGTGAGGACTAAAAGAGTTAATAGAAATCTATCACTCAAAACAGTGATTGGCACGTTGTCTATCCAGTCAATAAGTATTTTCACATTGTCATCATCATTACATAGATTTAATCTATTCAACATAGTAGAGATTTATGTGAAGGAGCAAAAGCACTCATACAAAACCACAGCCTTTCTAACTGGTGTGTCTTCCTGTGGTGTAACTACTACTTAGGAATGTTTCTTATTTGTAGTCATCACAGAGTCTCCACTGAAAAAACAAGAAATTTTGCATAGGACAGTAATATACATACCTACCATGATATTTAGTTAACATTTAAAAAATTAAGTCCATTGAAACATTTCCCAGCTGGGTGTGGTATCTCACTCCTATAATCCCAGCACTTTGGAAGGCAGAGGCAAGAGGATTGCCTGACCCAGGAGTTCCACACCAATCTGGGCAACTTGGTGAGACCTCATCTCTACAGTAATTTTTTAAGAATTAGCCTGGTGTAGTGGCCCACTCCTGTAGTTCCAGCTATTTGGAAGGCTGAGGAGGAAGTATTACCTGAATCCTGCTGGTGGAGGCTGCAGTGGCCATGAGCATGCTACTGTACTCCAGCCTGAGCAACAGTGAGACTGACTCTTAAAAAAAAAAGAGAAAGAAACAGTTCCCTCCCTTGGTCTTTATCATTCTTTGTAGATTTCTCATTTTAACCTTACACCCGTAGTTTCAAATATTTTTTCAGAATAAGATGACTATAAATAAATAAAATAAAGTTGGATTCTTTTCTTCATGATAAGTTCATAATTTAATATCTTTTTTCTAGGAAGGGATTTTATTCATGTGAAAACATTTCTATGCATTTAGGTCATTCCTGTTATTTACAGTAGAGGCACAATTGCTGCTTAAGTCTTACTCATAGATTAAATGTAAATTAGCTGAATGTTTTAAAAACTATTTTCATAGCCAGTTAGTTGTGGTAGATTTCCCCCCCCCTCAGGGCCATTATTTAATCTTATTTCAACAGAGAAATAAAATTGAATTCTAATAACAATAATTTAGAGGCTGATTGTCTGATTTGAGTGGTTACTATGGGAACTGAATGAAAATGTATAGCAAAATTTAATCTTCAATTTAAATAAATGCTTCAATAATTTCATTTGCTGCAAAACTATTTCAGAATGAGAAAGGGTACAATGCTAGCAAGTGTTTGTAGCATGATAGTTGTTTGTATCATAAAATGGATTTAAAATATAAGCTTAATGCCATGCCAGTGAGTTCAGTCAGATATTGGTGCATGTACTGGACATGTTCTTTGAGCCTGCACGAATACAAGTAGGGAAGGTGAAGAGTTCCTTCTCAGGGCCCTCAAGTGTGGAAACCTGTTTTCTCATTTTGACTGCCATGGAACATGACCTGAAGCTAGTCATTTAACCTCTAAGAAAAGGCTAAGATTGGTTATATAATTGTCATTATTTAATGTCATCATGAACTTATGAAACAAATATAAATAATTTTAAATTTTAATTTTGTTTCTCAATCTAGAAAACTTACAAAAACATTGAATTCTGCTAAAATAACTGTTTCAAAATCAGATTAATCCTTTTGAAAAGCCCTTTGTGTTTATCTTTGAGTTCAGTAGTATTTCATAAATCATTGAAAATTTTTCACTTAATATAAATTATACTAGAATGAAATAGCCATTGGTCTGAAATAGATGTGTCAACAAATAATTCATCAAATTAATATTTATATATTTGCAATATATAATTTATATTTATAATCCTTTTCTTCCTAATGAAATGCAACTAATACCATTTGTAAGTATGGCAGTAGTTACCTCAGTGTTGTATAAATATATGTTGATTATACTATACGCTGTACCTTTAAACAATCAGAAATATATCTTATTTTGATTTCTTTAGAATCTTACCTAACATTGTATAATAAATATCTTTCCATGTAGCTGTGTGATTTTTGTCCTTGAAATTTTTAATGCCTGTTTAAAATGCAGCTACCTATAACTGTTTCCCTTTTTTATCATAAATAATAATACAGAGAAGCACTGTTAGGCATTCAGCTTTGTTTTCTGCTTACAAATTATTTATTACTTAAACTACAAGTTGAATAACTGGATTGAGTGTTTCAACATTTTTATAGCTCTCTGTGTTACCAAATCATTTTATAATGTCAGTATACAATTGAGTAGAACAATTTTCTTGAAGCCATTCCATTATTGAGGTTTTATTAGGATATATTTCTGAAAATGACAATCAGTCATTTAAAATAGATTGATTTGGGCATCTTTTAACAAATCATGATTGATTAGAGCAATTTAATTTAGTTAATTATTCATGGATGGTTTTCCTCTTAAGAATTTGTGCTGAAAGAAATGTCGACACAAGATCTATTTTAGATCAGTACCTCACTCAGGTTGCCACAGGCTATATAGAAAAAATAATTCTCATTTTAATATGGAAGGCAGTTATTGGTAGTCTTTATGTTTAGCTCTAATCTAAACAGCCTTAGCTACTTTGCTAAAACTCTGCTTGCTGAGACAGTGATAGTACATTAGGAAGTGTAAGAAAAGCATTAAGGGACAACATGTCTAGCATTTGCATTTATATTATAACTCTGGCAACCATGTTTATCTTTGTAACCTTTCATATCATAGAGTTTGTTTTCCTTCTCTCCAGATTATTTAGTGTGATACCTATAAAGATCAACTCACACCCAAGGGCATTTCTATCTCCCATTTCAAATTATAAAGAGTTTGATTATAGCATGTGGCCAGAACTGAGTCATCTTCAGTTTAAGGTCCTGGTCCCAGTACATTCTAGGTCAACACTTTTGCTTTAGTTCGTTATCCTGTGATACCAAAAGAACTTTGTAAAGAAATAAGAGCCAAGCTGGGCTCGGTGGCTCAGCCTGTAATCCCACACTTTGGGAGGCCGAGGTGAGTGAATTGCCTGAGCCCGCGGGTTCGAGACCTACCTGGGTAAGTTGGCGTGACCTCATCTCTACAATAAATCAAAAAAATTAGCCGGGCATGGTAGCGCGTGCCTGTAGTTCCAGCTACTTGGAAGGCTGAGGCGGAAGGGTCACCGGAGCCCAGCAGGTCGAGGCTGCAGTGACCAGGAGCGGCTACTGCACTCCAGTCTGGGCAACAGAGTGAGACTCCCAACTCAAAAACAAAAAACAAACAAAAAAAGAAATCAGATCCAAAGAGACTAAAAATTTCAAAAACAGACCTGAAATCCTAGGTGGTCTTATAAATAACATTAAAACAGTATTAAAAGACAGTTTGATTCTAAGACAAATACTCTTCCAGGCATAGTCTAGGAAGATTTCTGTAGTCTAAAATGATCCTGGGAAGTCTAGTCAGCCTGGAGGCTATTTCTGGGTAAGAGAAATAATTTCAGTTTCATCCAGGTATTTGGCTCCACTGTTGACCAAATTCTTCAGCAACCACAAATCTAAACTAACTTCTGATGTTAGAGTATCATACATTTCAGTGTCTAGTTCATTTTTTCTATCTTCCTTCAGAAGACTTTCCAGAATGATCTCCAAATGTGTTCAAAGCAACACCTAAATGTCAGGTCCATTTTTAAATGTAATAAGTAATACAACACTTTAATTATTCTTATATCTGCATAACAACATAATTGCAGCTTAAATGATTTTTTTCTGCTATGTTTCTTTCCTAGCAAGTGGTAATACATTGTAAGGTCTAAAATATAAATTGTGTTTTGGCATTTGTTGTAAAAAAAAAACCAAACCTACTGGTTTCTTTTAAATAAAATGACCTGAAGGGCCATTATTATTTATGTGCTGTTTTCTTCCCTCTAGGAGCACTTCATGGAAGTAATCAGAAACCAGGAATTTGTATTATTACCAGCCAGCGAAATCGCAAAGCTCCTGGCTAGTGATGACATGAACATTCCTAATGAGGAGACAATATTGAATGCTCTTCTTACTTGGGTTCGTCATGATTTGGAACAGAGACGGAAAGATCTCAGTAAACTTTTGGCTTATATTAGGCTACCTCTTCTTGCACCACAGGTAACTCATAGGTTCTTATTTATATACTTTTCCTTTGCTTATTATATCAAATAAGGTCATTTCACATATATTCCTATGAAATGTATAGGTAAAAAGATAGTAAAGTAACAAGATTCTGCCTATATTTTCAGTCCAAAATGCCTGGCTACCCAAATGACACCAGTTAACATTCTTGATTTGGAGTTAGTAATTTTATTTGACTCAGCTACAAACCTATCCTGCCAATGGGATGAGATTTAATAAAACTGCTAATAAAAGAAACACTTGACTTCAGGAACTCAAAAAATTTAGATTAATTCATTTGCCACATGTTTATTATGTATTCATTAAGTACTAGATTCTGGTGATAGATAGATTAGTAAGGTAGGATAATAGTTCTAGCTGTGACATTTTAAGACTGTGACTTGGCATATTCACATACCTCAGTTTCTTCATCTGTGAAGTGGAGATAACATCCTCCCTGACTATCTCACAGATTACTATGAGGATTAGAAACATGCTCTGTGAAGAAAAATGTGCTATGAATAATATTATTTAAGAATTAAAAGATATTTAGTTAATGCATTCAGGATTATCAGTCATAACAGATTTGCACACATGGTTTCCCCTTTTTTATAATTTGCACTGGAATATGCAAAAAATTTTCCCTGCATACTTTGCTGCCTGTCTGAAGCCCTTGAATGGAGAAAGAGGCCTTGAAAGCAGAGAAAGAATAAGCTGTTACTGTTCAAGGTCAGGCTTGCTTTTCTTCTTTTATTTACAGTACCATAAGTAATATCTTATTTGTATCTTGAGCATAATGTATTATTTCCTGCTGTTGTGAGCAAAAGTTACTGTTTGCTGTCTACCTTACAGAAACAAAAAAAATCAATGCTGATGCTTTATAAGTCCTTCTTCTTCAGAGTTAGAGTAGTGTATGAATACATAGGAATGAAACTGCAAGAACTGATGACAATTTAGGAAAAGTAATATAATATTTCTCTTGAAATCGGATTTAAAGAAGGGTGTTATGTTTTTACCGCTACTTAGCAGATTTTAAAAAATTCTTTCTAGATGAAATAAGATCTGAAAAGTCCTATCAGATTTTGAAAAGAATCTGCAACTAAGTAACCTGGCAGTTTGCTTCAGTTCTACAGTTTTAAATATTTTTGATACTATATTTGCATGGCTCTCAGAGACCCTTAACATTTCTGTTATCCAAGATACTGCTATAGTAATAGCCCTAAGTTCTTAGAGTTGAAAGGTACTTTGGAAATCATTTGGTCTAACACCTGTTGTACAAATGAAGTGACAGACCAAAGAGTAAAATCACAAAGTGACCACATAAATTCCTCTCATTGTAGTTTTATTTGGCCTTGATACTGGGCTATATCACAAAACTAATGAGAGGCAGAGGTAGGACTTGCACCCAATTATAGTTCTGTGTCTTTTCCACTAAGCCATTCTGTCTCTTGAATGTACTATGTATATGATTGCTGGGGGTAGAGAAGGATATTAGATAAGGAAGAAATTGATTTAAAAAGAAATCAGTGATTACAATGAGGTGAAGACTGACAGATAGATGAACATGACATCATGAAACTAGTAGGCATAGCCTACCCAAATTGATGGTGGGGAAGCAGAGAGCACTTCCTGTTATTTGATCTACTTTAGGAATTAGCCAAAAGAGAGGGCATGATATTCAGGAGGATAGGAGGTTGTATCTTGTTATGGTGTCATGAGTGAATATATTGTGTTCTGGAATTTGAAGATACCTTGCATAGCTAGAGTGCAGGGGAAAAAAGAGGGCCATGTCAAGAGATGCAGCTGGAGAGGAAACTGGAGATCCTCTAGGCAGTGCCAAGGAGTTTGGATTTTGTCCTAAAAGCAATGAAGAAGCACCAAAGGGTTTTTAACAGGGGAATGGCATATCAGTAATGTTATTTTGGAAAGAATTCTGTAACTGCATTGTCAAGAATGGATCTGAGGGGTCAAAGCCAGAAACTCGTTAGGAATTCAGACAAGTGAATCAAGTTCTCTCTAGCAGTGGAAATAGACAGAAATGACCAGGCTCAAAAGCTATTAACAAGGTCAAACTGACACAATTTAATGACTGACTCAGTGGTGAAGGATACCAAAAAAAAAAAAAAAAAAGTCCGAATGATTAGAGTAATGAGGGTTAATGAGGAAGCTGTCAGTTGAAGCAAGGAATACAGGATGAAGAGCTAAGTGAGAGAAAATTGTGTTCCCAGAGCTACATGGCACCTTTAATCCTCTTAGAGTCTGAGAAGAAACTTTGAAAACTGCTTATTTAAGCTATTGAAGCCAAAGGAAAGAGAATGACACGGGCCAAGGAGAACACAGGAGTGCTAGGGATGGAACCCTAGGAAACACTAATATTTAGTGATTGTTCCCAAACCTGGCTAAATGCCTGTAGTGCTATTAAAAATTGATTCCAGCTTCATAAAAGGAGGAAGTTTTAACATCATCAGATGTTATGGAAAAGACAAATAAGTAGGGAAAATCCACTGGATAAGCCCAGTGCTTCTCTAAGTGTGACGCCCCAGAGTAGGATCATATTGTCAACATCATTAGTTGTTGGGAAAATACAAAATAAAATCACAGTTTCCACCTATCCAAGTGGCTAAAATAAAGAGACAGGTAGTAACAATTGGTGAGGACGTACAGAAACAATGACCTTCCTGTGATGCTGGACGGGAATGTGAAATGGTATATCACTACCCGGGAACTTGTGTGAAATGAAGATTATTAGACCTCACCACATACCTACTGAATGTGAAACTCTGAGTTGGGGTCTAGCAAATTGTGTTTTAATAAGCCCTCCAATGGCTTTGATGCACCCTCAAGTTTGAGAACCACTGTCCACAATGAATAGTGGTGACAGAAGCCACATTTCCTTGTATGTCTTGAAGAAAGTACTTCACCTCTCTGAGTAACATTTTTCTTTTCCTCAGGGATGATACTGTGTTGCAGTATTGTGAAAATTAAAGGTTCTAGCAGTGGTTTTTCTCATTGTAAAAAGTGAAGGACAATATTGCAGAATTAGAGTAATCAAGTAATAAAGGTTTGAAGTAAACACTCAAATTATCAAGAAAATGTTAACTTGTATTCTGTATGTTTCCTTTTAAAAGATAGGAAAACATAAGTATCAAATTATATAATGCCAGTCAAATAATAAGTTACTAATATTTAAACATTGGGATTAGAACTAATTACCTAGAGAATATATTTTTGTGAAATAGTGTCTTTCTCTATGATACCAACTAAATGAGGCTTCATTCTACTCTTGTTAATGTGAAACATTCAGTTTAGCCTAGCTAGAAGAGTTCAGCTTACATAGAGTAATTTTATTATAGTCTCTTCAGCAGTAGATCCTTAACGTGATGTAGGAAATAATGTATGTAATTGTAATCCTCTACCAAATGTTCATTTTTGTGTGACTTAAAAAAAATAACTCTAAGCCGGGCTTGGTGGCTCAGCCTGTAATCCCGTGCCTTGGGAGGCTGAGATGAGTAGATTGCCTGAGCCCGCCGGTTTGAGACCTGCCTGGGTAACTTGGCGAGACCTCATCTCTACAATAAATCAAAAAAATTAGCTAGGTGTGGTAGCGCGCACCTGTAGTTCCAGCTACTTGGAAGGCTGAGGCGGAAGGATCGCCAGAGCCCAGCAGGTCGAGGCTGCGGTAGCCAGGAGCGGCCACTGCATTCCAGTGTGGGCGACAGAGTGAGACTCCAACTCAAAAAAAAAAAAAAAGGAATCAGATCCGAAGAGACTAAAAATTTCAAAACAGACCTGAAAAGCCATATGATTATATCAGTAAAAATATGAAAGTTAATTTAAAAATTTAGCAAGCATTCTTAATTTAAAACTCTAAAATAGAAGAGGCAGCCTAAGTATAATAAAGGTATATTACTAAATGCTACAGAAACTATTATCCTAAATAGTGAAACACTCAAATTGTATCAATTCAAGCCAGAAACAGGGATACTACATATTACCCTAGTTATTTAACATTACTTTGAAGCTATCAGCAATTGCAATAATTGAATCAAATAATTGATGTACACATTAGAAAAATATGTCCAAACATCCCTGTTTTGTGATGATGATGATTATAACCATAGCACCATAACAGCTAAAGCTTAATAAGGAGATGATAAAGCAATAGGTTAAAAATAGTAATCAGTAGATTTTCTATCCTCTGGCAAGACATATACAAAATAAAAATTTTAAAAATCCATTCCTAATAACAAAAATAATAAAATATACAGAAATATATTTAAAAAGAGAAAGATATAATATGAAGAAAGTCATAAATGAATAGAAAGATTTCTTAAGCAGAAAGACTTAATATCATAAAAATGTGAATTCTCCAAAAATTAATAAATGGAATGTAATCCTATTAGAATTCTAATAGAATCAGCATGATGAAAAGGAATTGGATAAATTTGTCTTAAGTTTATATGGAAAATAAAGGCTCAAAAATAGCCAAGAGGCTGGGTTCGGTGGCCCAGACTATAATGCCATCACTTTGGGGGGTGGAGGCAAGTGGATTGTCTGAGCCTCAGGGTTCAAGAACCACCCAGGCAATTTGGTGAGACCTCATCTTTAAATCAAGAATTAGCCAGGTGTGGTAGCACATGCCTGTAGTTCTGGCTACTTGGAAGGCTGAGGCAGAAGGATCGCTGGAGCCCAGCAAGTCGATGCTAGGGTGGTCGTGAATATGCCACTGCACTCCAGCCTGGGCAACAGAGTGAAACTCCAATGAAAAAAAAAAAAAAGATAGCCAAGAAAACTACGAAAGTTAACAGCAAGGGAGCAAGGAGAGACTTACACTATTGGATATCAGAATATGCTATAAAGACATTGTCATAAAATATGGTATTAGAATAAGAAAAGATAAATAGATCAATGGAACAGAATAAAGAATCAAAAAACAGAGCTCACATGTATTGAAATCTATTTATGAGAATGTCATATTTGACCAAGGTTCAACACAGTTGGAAATGGGGGGCTTATTTGATAAATATTGCTGGTACAGAACTGGCTGTTTATCTGAAAGAAAATAAAAATGCCTCTCATATTCTATATAGAAATGAATTTCAAAAAAATTAATTTAATATGTATTAATGGCCTAAATGAAAAAAATAAAGCAGTAAAATCTTATCAGATAATGTGTGCAACTATATCCACAAACAAGAGCAGAAAGACTTCCTGACCAGGAGTGGAAACTCAGAAACTATGAAAAGAAAGACATATATTTGATAACCTAAAATGAAAATTATTTGTACAGAAAAGTTATTATGAAACAACCTTAGTAGACAGCTGATAACCCTAGAAAAATACAGTTGGAAAAAAAAGATTAGTATACAAGTGTATTATAAAGAAATTATAAATTTCCAATCAAAAGATGAACAACTTAATAGAAAAAAAGGAGGCAAAGGAAGAAGAAAAATTACAAATTACCAAAATATAAAAAGATGCTCATTGGGAAAATTCAAATTAGGGGGAATGTATAATATCATTAACAAAAATTTAGAAAGCTAAAAGCACTTATTCGTGGCAGGAATGTTATGTTCTCATACATGACTAATGCAAATATGAATTATTACAGCTTCTTTGGAAAGCAATCTGACATTTATGTATATACAGACATAACATATATATACACATACACCCCCCCATTACCTGCCTGGAGTCAATTCAGTTCCTAGAAATCTATTCCATACAGGTAAAATTAGTGCATAAAGATTTCTGTATATGTTTTTAGTAGGAAAAAAAGCCATATAGGCATATGTACATACATACATATATATACATACTGGAAACAAAATAAATGTCTATAATGAGGAAATGACTGAAAAAATTGGTAAATCTATATGCTGTTAAATATTTAATCATTAAAAAGAATAAATCAGAACTATACTTTTTTAGAAGACTTGGAGGAATTTTCATGAGATATGTTGAGTAAAAATGGTAAGATGCAGCAAACTAATAAAACAATGAATAAAAGAAAAAACTATACTTACTGCATATATTTGTATGCCTATAAGGATTATGTCAGCAGAAGAGTTCATAAATATGGAGAAAAATATGAAAAGATGCTCACTAGATTTTGTATAAGGCAGGGAAGGATTGTGGGATGGGGAGAGGTGATAGAGAACCAGAAGCAAAAGGAAAAGACTTACATTAAATTTAAAAAAAAAATTTTTTTTTTACTTAATCTCCAATGTGATGGTATTTTTATCTGACTTTATTTATTCTTATAGAACTTTTTAAGAAGCTAGTAACCATATTTGCACATTTATATAAAATTAAATAGAATTCAGTGAGGCACAAGGATTTTAATTGCTTTTTAGAATGATCATTGTTTAGAGTTCTTTGCCCCTTGAGAAATTGGTAAATTTTGTTTTTGCTGTTGTTGTTTGGACATCATTTAGAGAAGTTAGGTAAATGCAGTCTAATTAGTCAACTCCGACTCATAATTCTTCTTCTTCAATTAAAATTATTTCTAATTTAAAAAATAAAATTATTTATCTCAGAAAATCTTGAGATTATAGAAGAGCAGTTAGAAGTATTTTAAAAACACCATAAGAATGTATTTTAAAAGCACCAGTATTCCTACTACCCAGAGATAAGCACTGCAGTATTAAGATTTTAGACTATAACATGTTCCTCAGTTTTTGTTTTTCAATATAATTTAAGGTATAAATTTTATAAATATTGCATATTTTAGTTAGAAATATGTACCCATACCTGATTCTTTTAAAATGTGAGATAATTTCCATTTGAGAACTATATCATTTATTGTTTAATTTTACCATTTTCTTAGTCATTGAGTGTACATACCTACTGTTCTTTTCTAGTTCCTGGCAGACATGGAAAATAATGCACTTTTTCGAGATGATATAGAATGCCAGAAACTCATTATGGAAGCAATGAAGTATCATTTATTACCAGAGAGACGACCCATGTTGCAAAGTCCTCGGACAAAACCTAGGAAGTCAACTGTTGGTACATTATTTGCAATTGGGGGAATGGATTCAACAAAAGGTATTGAACAATTTTTTATTTGGAGGGAATTAGAGAAAAAAGTATTTTAATAACTATCTATATGGCCAAAGAACTCTGGAGAAATGGCTGGCTGCAGGACAGAAACGACTGGTTGCAAGATAAGCCTAGAACATCCTCTACTACCAGAAAGTAAGGAAGTGCTCAGAGTGGTGACGATGGGTCAGAACACATAGGAAACAACTTGGAGGGGCTACCACTGCCCAAGTCTGGAATAACTTGAACATCAATGTAAAAAATGATAGTAAAAGATTGTAACCTACTAAATCAATGTGTCCATGATTCCACACTGATACAAATAAAGAAGGGAGAAAAGAAAGCTCTTGCTTATGGTAGAGGAAGATGCAGCATTCTTCACTTATTAGTGTATTATTAGTGTATTATTAGTGCAAACTAATAAACGTTGAAGGAAATATGACATTAGAAGAGCTACTATTTGACATCCATAATAATGTGATCAATTCAGTGAAGAATCAACAATGGATGCTGAGACAAGTGGGTGAAAGTTTGAGGAAAAGAGGATATTTATCCAAGAAGTAACTCTCAGCCTCATTTAATTAGTTACGAAAAGCAAAATAGTGTGTTTCCAGTGGAGGAACCCTTCACAAAGGTGGTCAAAGGTAATGTTGCCAGAAGTGAACCTAAGCAGCCCCAAGTGTCTCTGATAGGATGCACTGAGAACTCAGCAGTACATCTGTGGTATTCTTGCCAAAAATATGTAACTTGAATTTAATCATGAGGAGAAAACAAGCAAATCTAAGCTGAGAAACATTCTACAAAATAACTTGTCTGTCTGTAGTACTAAAAAAAAGTCAATGTCATACAAAAAGATGCAGAAATTGTTCCAGATTACAGAAGACTAAAGAGACATGACAGCTATTATAATGCTTCACCTTGGATTTTCTTTTGCTCTAAAGGACGTAACTTGAGACAAATGATAAAATCCAAATGAGGCCTGTAGGTTAGATTATAGCATTGTGTAAATGTTAACTTCCAGATTTGATTATTGTATTTTGGTTTTAAAACAAAATTTCTTATTCTCTTATTAATATTGGGGGTATAAAGGCATCATTTCTGCAACTTTAAACAGTTCAGGAAAAAATACATGCATACATACATGCAAAGCAAATGGAGTAAAATGTAAACATTCAGAAAATCTTGGTCACAGGTATCTAGGAACTCTTTGTACCTTTCTTGCAACAGTTGTTACTAATATTAAAACTAAAAACAATGAGCACTATATACAGTGTCTATTGGGTACAGGTATTGTGCTAGAAGCTTTCTGTGTATTATCTCTCAGTATACATTGATCTCTTCTTTCTCTGAATTCCTCGTACTAATAACCTGCAGTCCTCTGACAATACCTCTCTGACTTCTGGCCACCTCTCTGATCTCAGCTCTGCTTCTTCCCTCACTGATCTTTCTATTCCAGCTAGCCATAACCCATTGACCTCCTCGTTCATCTAACATGCCAAACATTTTATCCACATCAGGGATATTGCATTAGAATGTCCTCTCACTGGAATACTCTGTCCCCTGATATTGAAATACCTAGAAGAAATTATTCACTCAGATATCCTCTCAGATGTCAGCTTACCAAAGAAGACTTCCATGACCTCTTGCCCAGTAATTTCTGACTTCTTTCTATTGCTCTTTATCTCCTTACTGTGCATTGTTTCTTCATAACAAATGAATTTGTTTATGATCTGTCCCTCTTACCCCCAAATAAGCTTCAGAAAAGCAAGGAATTTGTTTTCTTAACTCATATATTCCCAGAGCCTTCCTTATAGATGGCAACAGTGAGTATTTGTCACATGAATGAAGATTGTCCTTTGCCATCTCTTGAATTAATTGTACTAGAGCCCTTGATGTATTAATCACATTTAGAGTTTCTCTCCTATGTGATATCTGTAGGGAATATAAAATTGTGAGCTCTAATTGAAAGTGTTGTATTATTATTTAACTTTTCAGTTTGTAGCAGTAAAGACAATAAAATCAATAAATAATCTCTCTCCCTCTCTACATTTCTCCCCTTCTCCCCCTCTCTCCCTCTCTTTCCTCCCCCTCTCACCCTCCCCCTCTCCCCTCCCCTTCTCTTTCTCTCCCCCCTTACCCTCTCCCCTCTGCTCTATCCTGCTCAAGCTATCTTCCCTGGCCTAAATTTATCCTATTCCCAATATCTTTGTAATGAAGAGAAGTTTGCATTAGTCAGATGGTAGTCTGATCATTGGTCTCTTGGTCCCTTTGTATATCTGTTTTGTTTAGTGCCTAATAGATAAGCTAATAATGGTTCTAAATAGCCACTAAGAAAATGTTAGAGTGTATTTGTGCTTACGTTTTTAAAGGTTAATTCTTCAGTATAAATTAGAGAAGTACCAAGCTTTTACATAGAATTTTACAATTATTAGGTTTTGTTATTTTGGGATATTTGGATTTAAAAAAAAAAATATATATATATATATATATTTGAGATTGTGTTTTAATATTTTATGTTTTAAGAATTGTGTTCAAAATTAGCAAAAGAACTTTTAGTTACTAATTCATGATACTGCTTAGTAAATAAGATCTAAGAAAACTTAAAATTCAAAAGATAAATATTCCCTAAGCCGGGCTCGGTGGCTCCGCCTATAATCCCATGCTTTGGGAGGCCGAGGTGAGTGGATTGCCTGAGCCCGCAGGTTCGAGACCCGCCTGGGCAACTTGGCGAGACCTCAACGCTACAATAAATCAAAAATTAGCTGGGCATGGTAGCGCGCGCCTGTAGTTCCAGCTACTTGGAAAGCTGAGGCGGAAGGATTGCCGGAGCCCAGC